GTGGGGAGACGGAATTTTGTGGGTTCTAATGTTTTGAACTTTCTCTGCTCTGAATCTTTTATCACTGGGTAGCATCTGAACCTCATCTTCAATTTCAGCAATAGATGGATTTTGGGTGGTTTCTAGTGGGAAATCTTGTCATTTTGAATCAATATTTATTTCAAAGTTTTTGTGTCACTTAAATATGTCTCCCAGGGTGAATAGCTATGAGAATGCCTCATGCAGCCAGAACAGAATGGAACAGGGGTTACTTCAATTTCTAATTTCAGCAGGAACAAATGGTTGGAGTATATTTCTCATGGAAAAATATGTAATAACTTCTTCTGTTTAACTGACTAGTTAACTTCCTAGTATTTGAGCAATTGAAGATTTATGAGAATACATCAATGGAAAAAGATCTGTTTCCTTTGGTGAAACTGCATTTTCCTTATTGAGTTTGGAGGAAAAGTGGGTCCTTCCCTGGTTTGTCTTTACTGTGTTAGACAAAAGCACTGCTTTGAAAGTTGAGATATTTCCCTTCCAGCTTCAAGTTCTCAGCTGTTCAATACACATTGGATGGTATCATCCTTTTTCCAGGGAAAAATGAACAGTGATACTCACTGCCTGCACTTGGAGCTGCAGGTCATTTTTCTCCTGCACCAAGGCCACCATTTTCTCCTCCAACTCCTTCCGCTTTGCCTCAGACTTTGCAAGCTCTTCCTTGGTTTTCTCAAACTCTTCCTTCATGTTGGCCATTTCCTTCTCAGACTCTGCACTCTTCAGCAAGGGCTTGATCTTGAAGAACAGCTTCATCCATGGCCAGTGTTTGACATTCATGAATGAACGAACGTTGTACTGGATGCAGAAGATGGACTCTCTGAAAACAAATCCACGTGGTTATTAAATATCCTGTGTTTGGTGAATTTTGACTCAATTAGCCAACTACCCTTAGAACACAACAAATGAGTGAGAAGTATCTACCTCCTTTCCACCATTCTCTGGTACTCCACTCTCATCAGGAAGCCTCTGCACCTGGCTTGTATCATGGTCATAATCTCTGCCAGTTTCTCATCTCTCATCTCCTCCAGGACACCTATTAGTCCGGCTTTGAAGAACACCTTGAGAAAGACAAGATTGTTGTACATCAGTGCTGAGTAGTGCATTACTTTGGCACACTGTATTTAAATACAAAACTCCATTCTACCTTGGTGTGACCAAATCTGTACTGGGTGTGGTCAACATCAATGGACCCAAGAAGCTTCTCTGAAGCCTTCTTGTTGTCCATGAACTGTCCCTCTGGGATAGCACTGGCATTAAGTACTCTGTATCTGTAGGAGAAAGTAGAACATTTTGAAATCAACTGTTCTGAAACCATCACAGTGATTGAACCCCACAGCCTACTCAGCAACAGCTGAATAATATCATATATTAGAGACTGCATTCTTTCAAGATAGCACATGTCTTCAAAGACATTGCAAGAGAGTGCGAGAACTTTTCATAGCATTAACCAGAGACAAAGTGAATCCTCACAATCAGCATGAAATAATTCATCAATTCAGAGCAAAATATGACAGTGTAAAATGTAAAGATTGTTATAATGATCAGGCTCTTCACCTTGGTCTGAATGGTCAGAGAGATGCAGAGCTCTCACCTCTGTTTGAAGTCAGCATAGAGGACTCTGCTGGGGAAGCCTTTCCTGCAAATCCTGATCCCTTCCAGCACGCCGT